TAACCTCAGGATGACAGTCTACACTCAGCCTTCGATCAAGTAATAAAAATTGATGATCAGGTGGTGCGCCCTGAAGCTGACATTCCCATATTTTGTATTGATTATATTGGCAGATTGTATTGAGTGAGTGGCGACACTCTCATGCAGGACAACCACACACAGTTGCTGGTCCATAAAAGCCACCAGGAAATGATTTTCCAGGTGGCTCAATATAGCCCGATGCCTGGTGACATGTGTTTGGACAAAACTCTGGAGCAAATAATGTCCCGAATTTATCGTCCGGGCATTCAGGGGAGATGTGTGCCAGTAGTGGGTGCCCAAAAGCGACTTTGTGCCCTTTACCTTTAATGCAGGTCCCTGGGCACATCGTTCATGTCTTGCACAATCACAGTTTGTAGGTGTTATAATAATAACACACAAACTGTATGAATTACTTGGCATTAAATCTTTCGGGACTAGCGCCTATCACCCTCATATTGATGGGCTGGTGGAGCAGCTGAATAACACCATGATTCGCAGTTTCATCGCTGGTTAGACCCTATGTTGTTTGCTGTGTGGGAGGTGCCCCAAGTCTTCACTGGATTTTCTCCACTTGAGCTACTGTTTGGCAGGATTTTGCAGGGGGTGTTGGACCCGATTAAAGAAAACTGGAGAGAACATCCGAGCCTGGCGAAAGATGAGACTCTGTATTTTCTGGACCTAAGAGCAAAGCTGCACACTTTGGGGAGGTTGTCATGAGAAAGAGATGAGTTGCGGCCGGAGGTGCCAAATTCCACCATTCACGCATTGTGATAACCATCACAGACAGGCCAGAGAGAGGATGTTGCCGCATTGCAACAGCTGTTGGCAGATGTGTTCTCCCCCCTGCCAGCTTTACAAATCTTAAAGAGGGCCATTTTGAAACCCAGCCTGGCGTGATGGTGCATTTACAGCCCCACAGGTTACCTAAGCATAAAAGGCAAATTGTTCAGAAAGAAATGGCTGAAATGCTGAAAACGGGAGTAACAGAAGAGTCGCACAGCTTGTGGTTTATACCCATAGTTCTTTTTTAAAGAAAGATTGGTATATATGGTTCTGTGTTGACTAATGCAAAGTGAATGAGGTGTCATGGTTTGATGATTATCCCATGCCTTTTCCACTCCGTACAGTTTGCACCAATTTGTTGCACTTCAATTCATCTTGGTCAGGGGCCCCAGCCACCTTGCGATGCCTCAAAAACTGGGTGCTGTGGCTGCAAGCTGCATGTGCTGTCACCTATTTGGATACTGTTATTATCCACAGTGACACTTGGGTGGAGCATGTGCGGTGGGCTGCTGTGATCCTGGAGTGCCTGGACCCACAACTTTCCCAAAGAAGTGTGTGGTTGTACGAAGGGAGGTATGGTATCTGGAATACCACTTGGGAGGTGGGCAGGTGCATCCATAGATGGACAAAACTGCAGCAATTGCATCCTGCCCACGCCCCAAGACCAAAAAGGAGGTTAGGCAGTTCCTGGGGCAAGCTGGTGACTCCCGCCACAGCTTACCAGCTCCTTGACTGACCTCACCTGGAAGGTTGTACCAGATCTGGTCCAGTGGACGCAGGTTAACAAGGCTTTCTGTGGGGAAACCCTACTTCAAACACCTAGATTCCCCTGTGTTTTTTATTCTGCAGACTGATGACTTGGACATGGAGCTGTTTTGCCCCAACTGTTGGGGGGGGGACCCCCAGTTGTGTAAATCAGGAAACTGTGAGAGTGGAAGGCCAGGTAAAGCACCATAGAGAAGGAGATCCTGGCCATCTGGTGGGTGGTCAACTCTCTTCGCTATTACCTCCTTGGCTGCTCCCTCTGTTTGGATCACACTCCACTGCAGTGGCAGGGTGTGGTTGGTGGCTCTGCTGCAGGGG